GTGTGGGTGTGTGGGGGGTGTGTAGTGTGGGTGTGTGTAGGTGGGTGTGGGGGGGTGTTTGTGTGTGTGTGATTTCGAGACAAAATCTTGCTCTGTTGCCCAGGCTCGAGTGCAGTGGCATAATCTTGGCTCACTGAAGGCTCTGCTTCCTGGGTTCAAGTGATTCTCCTGCCTCGGCCTCCCAAGCAGCTGGGATTACAGATGCACACTGCCAAACCCGGCCAATCTTTTAGTAGAGACAGGGTTTCACCGTATTGGCCAGCCTGGTCTCACACTCCTGGCCTCAAGTGATCCACCCGCCTCATTCTCTGAAACTTCTGGGATTACAGGCATGAGCCAACGTGCCTGGCCTGTTATTTATTTCTTTAGAGATGGGGTCTCACTATGTTGCCCAGGCTGGTCTCAAACTCCTGGGCTCAGGTGATCCGCCCACCTTGGCCTCCCAAAGTGCCAAGATTACAGGCGTGAGCCACTGTGCCTGATTCTGTTCACTGTCTTGACTGAGGCGATGGTTTCACAGGTATAGACGTGTGAAAACACATCCAAGGGTACACTTAGTGTGTAGTTCATTGTAAATCAGTTACACCCCATTAACATAATATGTGTGTGTGCGCGTGTGTGCGCCTGTGTGGATCTCTGTGGAAACCAGAAGCCCTCTGACGCATGTGTTTGTTCTTGCCTAGGACGCCCAGAGCAAGAGTCCCAGCGCAGTCCTGAGCCATGAATCGGATGCTGCTCACTCTGACAGTGCCAGGTCATCTACCAGCAAGTTAGAGCTCTGGCCTGATGTTAACAAAATAAGGAAATCAGAGGTTTGTCTTGGCAACTAACCGTGTAGAGACCCGGTACCGAGTGACCGCTCTGTGAAGAGCTCTTTTCCATGCGCTGGGGGCCTGGCACCGAACAGAAACCCACGCCCTCATGGACACTATGTTCCAGTGCGGAGGGGACACGGCAGGGAGGAGGGGACACGGCAGGGGGGAGGGGACACGGCAGGGAGGAGGGGCACGGCAGGGGGAGG